GCTGGCGCCGGCAATATGGAGAGCGCTGGCCCCAGCAGGCCACTGTCGTCTTGGTGAGGCCACGCCCCCCGTTCCCGTGGCCATGCTGCAGTATAACCGTCCCCTGCGCTCGCTGCCCCCTGTGGCCACTGACGAGCATAGCTGGCCCTTCTTTCAGCCCCCCTCCCCTTCTGTGATCTGGAAAACAATCGGAGTCCAGGCACATCCCGTTTTCCTGGCCCAGCCCAGCCCTGACCTGGCGTTAAGTTAGGACAAGAGGAAGCTGCCTCCTGAAATCGGTGATCCTGGCTCTTACCGTTTCGGAGGAGTTCTTGAACCAACGGACTCACAGATGGGCAGACGGACGCACAAACCCCCTAAAATACACAGATAGATAGCTCTGGCCCCAACCTGATTGCGCTAGGTGCTGTACAAACACGGAACAAAAAGACGGTCCTTTGTTTTATTGGTCTTGGAGCACCTAATAACTTTCAGCATCGCTACCCGCCCCCAACCGCCCTGCGAAAGAGGGAATGATGATTAGTTCCATTTTACAGAGGGGTCAGAAAAGGCCAATGACATACCCCAAAGTCTGGAGCACAAAGCCTTAAATCCAGATCTGTCAAGTCCTGGTCTAGACCCCCCTACCCAAGAGACCACCCTCTTTCTCCAAGAGATTACAGGGTTGGCCATACATGAGCATTTCCCCAGACATTTTTGGCCCAATTCTAATGAAAATAGGCTCTCACTTTTAGTTTGCCTACTCCAACCCGGCTCTGCCCTGAGGCTCCGCCCCCCACTCCACCCTTTCCCCCAAAGCCCCGCCTCTTTCTGCTCTTACTCTGTCTCCCCCCCTTGTCCCCCGAGACCCTGCCCTTGTTCTGGCTCTTCCTGCCTTTGCTCCACCTCCTCATGAGGCCCATGCTTGCTTGCTGCTCTCCTTCCCCCCAGCCCCTCCCTGACTCCAATTAGCTGATGAGGGGTTCCACAGAACAGCAGATTGGCAATGGTACCCAGTCTTTATGATTGCTTCTTTCTTCCCCTCTCCGTCAATTGGTGGGTCTCTTCAGACTGCACGTGAGGGCAGGGTCCATTGTCTTGTTCGATATTAATGATCTGGATGAGGGGATGGATTGCACCCGCAGCAAGGTGGCAGATGACACCAAGCTAGGAGGAGAGGTAGATATGCCAGAGGGCAGGGATAGGGTACAGAGTGACTTTGACAAATTGGAGGATTGGGCCACAAAAAATTGGATGAGGTTCAACAAGGACAAGTGCAGAGTCCTGCCCTTGGGACGGAAGAATCCCAAGCATTGCTACAGGCTGGGGACCAACTGGCTAAGTAGCAGTTCTGCAGAAAAGGACCTGGGGATACAGTGGATGAGAAGCTGGACATGAGTCAACAGGGCGCCCTTGTAGCCAACAAAGCTAATGGCATATTAGGTTGCATTAAGAGGAGCATTGCCAGCAGATCCAGAGATGTGATTATTCCTCTTTACTCGGCTCTGGTGAGGCCACAGCTGGAGTATTGTGTCCAGTTCTGGGCCCCCAATTACAGGAAGGATGTGGACGCA